GAGGAGGTGGTGGCGGAGGCGGTGGAGGAGAAGGTGACGGTGAAAGTTCACCAAACCCTAATCCAGTCTTAAACAAATGTGAAACAGGTTGCAACATTCTTCCGTGGCCACACGAGACAGATTGTGACAAATTCTGGGTATGCAACGGCTCAAAAGCTGTGTTAGGAGTTTGCTCCGAAGGACTACAGTTTAACCCACAAACATATACGTGCGACTTTAATTGCAACGTATCTTGTGTCAGACGCGAGATACAGTCCACGGTCGAGGACGATGGCATTAAAATATTCCTGCCTTGGAGTAAAGCTAAGTCTAGTTTAATTAAGAAGTATCTAGATGGCATTGTTAGCGTTTAAGGACATATTATGTATATGTGAATAAAAAATAATCTGCAATCAATACATTTCTTTCGACGACAAGAGTCGTTAGTGTACAGTATTAGATAGTTTGTATATATTTTATTGTAAATAAATTCTACCTCGGTATTTTTAAATTGAAAAACCTGTTTTTCTACCTACCATATACGAGCGTGTGCACACGTGGAACTAAATTATCGCATAATTGTTTAGTCTCGCATTGATTCACTATTTAAAGGTTTGCGCCCGCAAACAAAAAAGTCTACAATATTTGGTTTCATAATGTTACTTTTTCTTAAAAGTTATTTCTACAAAATATAGAACAGGTTAATAATAATAAAAAAAATATTTTTGTTTAAAGGTTATATTTATTAAATACACTTATAACAAAAAATAGAAAAAAAATACTATTAATTAGTTAAAATAAATATATTACCAAATAGTAAACGTTTTTTTTTTACCTTTGTTTTTAACTGTTTTGTAACTATATTTCAAAAATATTTTACTTAAAATACAGTGTTTCATAACTTCAAAGTTCATACATTTTTTTAATTATTGCTTAATACTATTACAAATTTTTAAAAATATCATTTATAATGTAAAAAAATACATGTTACATTTTTTCTACTAAAAGTTGTGTTACAAAATATCTAACAATACAATGTAATTAATACAAAAAGTATTGCCTACTTCAAATACTATGAAAAAAATTTTTAACTACAAACAAAATCTAATAATAATTACCATAAACCTCTTAAATAATTATATTACGATTTAAGTCTTTTAATTTGGTCATTTACTCCTATAGGGTTCAATGGATATATTTTTCCACCGGTATCGAACTTAATAAAAATTGATAAAAAAAATTACATACGACTATAAAAAAACTATTCTTGACTATCTACAACATCATTGGCTTCGATTACCTGTAACGAAAAAGTAAAAAAATAAAAAAAAGCTTAAAAAATTTAACATAGATCAAAAGAAAAAAAATTTTTTTCCTATTTTAAATCTTTCCTGGTCTCTATTGGGAAGGGAAAAGACAAATTAATAATGGATTTTACATTCTTAATAGAGTAAGGAAAAATATATACCGAAAAAAATAGTAGAACGGTATTAAAAAAAGGACTTATAATAGAAATAGCTGGTTCTGAAAACAAAAAATATACTCAAACGTCTACGAAAGTGGAAAAAAAAATCCCATTTCAAAACTAGTTACCAAACAACGAAAGAAAATATAGACAATTACCTTTGTCCCTTTTTCCTAACCAAAACTGGGCAAGTTATGAAAAAAAAAATTTTTTTTCGCTGTTTGTTAATTAGTATTAGGTATGAAGTATCATTCTTACTCGTTTAATTTTCTTTCCATACATAGACCAGAAGGTCACTTTTATATCTGTAGGTTTCCCTGTCCTCGCGTCGAACATCCTGCAACTATCGAAGGGTGGACAGTACAGGTGTAGAGACACAGCACCGTCTACGTATGAAGGATTTTCCATACGATGCAACCCTAATGCATCTGCAATTAAAAATGAACCAAATTTATATAGTAATTAGGACAATTTATCAGAGATATTTAATTTTAATAATCTATATAGGCGGAGACGCACATAAAAAAGATATTTCCCCTTTCCATGCGTCTCCTCCATGTAAACCACTTTTCCTTCCCATCCTTTCCTCTTTAGAAAAGATATCTCTTTTCTTAAGAGGAAAGGCAATTCTCCACTTATAAAGACTAGACATAGTGAACAACATTTTTTTCACCGGTAACTTCTTTGAAAGGTACTATGTTGTCAAGTTTAGTACCACCTCATGCCATTGTATTTACATGTAGTAAAATATACAAAATTACTATAAGCTCCATCTTTTGTTACAAAAAAAACTAAACAGTATCACTAAATGTGAGTATTTAAACATTAAAATACAATATTGACTGTTTTGTACATCTATTACTAGCTAGCGTTCGAAAATTATGTGAAAAATGTCTCAACTATGCTTCTGTATATTTTTTAATCTATTTGCAGTTAACCCTTAAATCGACGGAGTTTTTTGTAGCGAAAAAATATATGTTACCAACACAATAAAAACAAAATCTCACGTATTTCTAAACTAGTTCAGTAGATTTTTTTAAATATTTCATCACACTGGACACTATCGAATTTAGAGTGTCCATAAAATGACTTTTTTTATATTAATGAGCCTGATCTACAAAAGATACCCTTTAACATGAGTATCTTCTTATCTTGAACTCAATAAGCAGAATGTGAACCCAGACGAAAAAAATCACAGCAAGTTCAATGACTGATGATTTTTTATGTAACAAGCATGAAAAAAATCAATAAAAGGTTTTTTACATTAAGATTTTTTGACGCTATTTTGTTTCTTATAAATTGCCACTGCTGTTGTTCGCAAATTCGTCTACGATAAATAATAAAATAATAAGTTTATAGTCTATGTTACTCAATGACAACGTAGCTTTTTAATGGTAAAAGATTTTTTGAAATCTGCAAAGTAGTTTTAGAGTTACATCAATACATGCAAAAATACAAATCTTTCCTCTTTATAATATTATGGCTTGCAACTTCGCTCGTATGAAATTAAAAAATCTTAAAATCGGTCTAGTAGTTTTTGAGTTTTTTCAATACATGCAAAAAAAACAAATCCTTCCTCTTTATATTAGTATAGATATATAAATAAAATATTTAATTACCATTAATATAACAGACATCGTTAACTTCTAACGCCGTTCTTCCTATTTCCTCCATTTTGTTAGCGTCATAATCGTGGTCGCCATCTTGTTCGCAATGTTCCGAGCTGTCACTTTTCCCGCGGAAATTAGGACAAGTGTCATTCTGACAGTTGTTAATTAAATTGCTCGTCCGATCCTCTGTCGCATTTTCGTTGCCAGAACAACATGAATTCTTTGTTTTTAATTTTTTTAATACCTCCGGTTCGACATTGTTGGGCCACTCGTATCTGAAAAGGGGATAATTTTAAATTAAGAAAACAAAGGCTTTTTAGATGACAATATAAAAAAGTCATCATATTTTGATGAAATTTGGTATAAATGTAAAGAATAGTCTGGAATAACAGATAGGCTACTTGCATTTGTTTTTTTTTAATTTTACGCGAACTCGAAATCGATGCAAGTAAACGATTTTGTAAAATTTTGAAAACAACGCCATCTATTTTCTTAAAAACTAAAACTAAGGACTTTTTTTGTTGAATATTTTTCATGTAACATACCTTACTTCCTCCAAACTGCCGCTTAGAATTTTCATAAAGCAATGTGAGTCTGCATGATCGTGTATGGCAGAAGCATGGCCTGGACCCCAACACAGGACCATTATATTAAAAGCACCATTTCCAGCGTCGACTAAATTCCTAGTATACCTGAAATATAAAAATTAAAAAATAGTAAAAATTCTGTATTAGTCCAAAACAATTTTGTACAAAAACATTGGGACTGTCTTCTGAACTAGTAAATATGTAATGAAATATTAATGGCCAGTCTCACCACTGGCTGATAGAGGCTCAGGTAGCTTAAAAATCACGTCACTGTCAGATAAGGGAACAAAATCTGAAATTTCCATCACGTATTTTACACGTTAGTTATCATATAATTAACAATTTGGTGGGACATGCCCTAGGAATTTCTTAATCAACGACCTGTAAGGGGTTAATTAAACAGTTTCTTAATATCTCATATTGAATACTAGCTGTTCGCGTGCGGCTTCATCCGCATGAAATTATAAATTCATTGTTTGCATTTGTCAAATTCTCAATTGCAAATGACAAAATACCAATTACCTTACTATGGCAATCTTGCTTCCTTGATGCTGGCAGCAACTTACGGTCTCTTTCCCACATTAGGGTTTTTATCCAAAATATTTACCCCCTAAGTTTAATGGCGTGAAAATATGGGCTAAAGCGTGACGTTAGTGTAGGGCTTTTTATTAAAAAAGGGAATTATTCAAAAATATGCTGTAATTGCTGAGATCTTAGGCAACAATGAAGTGTGTGTTTACGCTTTATTATAATAGTATAGATACTAAGTGTTCTCCTTAGTGATCACTTAATAATTAAGTGCAGCTATTATAGAATTCAGAGGTACCATTTCTTTTTCTAAAGAAGTTGCAAGATTTAAAAAAATATCCACCGAGATTTGAGAAAAATATCCATAAATTTTTTTCACCGCATTTTATATTTGTATTACATTTAACATACTTCCAGAAAACATATTAACAATACTTTACTAAAATAAATATCGTGATTACTTAAAATTAACAAGTAAATATTATAAAAATATATAACGGAAAATTTTCAATATTGATTTACATGTGATTTGAAAGAAACAAAGAAGCAACGTCACTTTAGTGAAAAGAAAAAATGCCTAAAAACACTCAGATATTGAACAAAGAGATATAAATGCAAATACGAGGAGTATTTTCAAACTAAAAGCGAGGCTTTGACTAAAAATCGCACAACTGTTTGCGATTGTCGATTGTTTTGTAACTCAACTGTTTAGTTGTACAACTAAACATCGAGTAGACCTCCATAAGCTCATAGAAATCAAAGCAAGACTATAGTTTAGTCAAACATGCCTGAGCATATCAAATTATAGCTTTTTTATATTATGGCAAACGAGCAAACGACCACCTAAATCCACAAAAAAAGGCGAAGCGACCATTGCCCACACTTAATCGACAGATGAGGAGACGCATATAAAGCCCATCCTATGCGTCTCCTCCCGTTTCCCATCCAATCCTTTCCTTATAAGAAAAGGGTGGACCGAGAAAGGGACTAAAATTGGGCATCCGGCGCCACACTTATCAAACTGTACGCGGAGTTACCCCACTTCACGAAGACAGGCTTCTGTGTGGTGGTGGTATTACACCGTGGGACTAAACCCATTCGTGCAAAGATGTTAAAGCGGGCTCTACCACTGTTACCTTAAATCCAAAGGTTAAAATTACACTTACCGGAATCTATCAAATTTTGCGTATTTCTTCCAATCCTTGGGCTGGGATTTGTAAGCCGACATCAATTTTTGCACATCTTGAACATTCACGTGGTCCCTCGCGAACACTTTGTGCAGTTCTTGGACTAACATTTCCAAGCCGTTTATCTCTCTGTATACAAAAACACATTTTATAACATGCTGAAACTACGCTTTGAAGATCAAGTTGGTTTGTTCTACTTTACTTCGAGAATATCTACGTATTAACTTAATATGTGCTAGTGAAACTATCAGAGGTGAAATTTAAAAAAAAAACTTAAACCTCACTAAATTATTTCTAAAACTCTCCGAGAATGTTAACCTTTTATACTATTTCATTTGAGTCTTAATTATTTAATTAGCAAATAGTTTTGTGTAAACCTCACTGATATTAAATGCAAAAATTCGGATGGATTGTCAGAGTTTGTAGCCTAAACTGTTGAACGCATATCGATGAAATTTGCCATAGATGTAGAGAATAATCTGGAAGAACATATAACCTCATATTTGTTTTTTTAATTCCATGCAGACGGAGTCGCGAGCGAAAGCTAGTTATGTTATAAATAACGATTTCTTATATGTTATGATAGCGTGTGACTTACAAGTCAATCTTCAAGGGTCGTTCGACAGCTAGCATGTCGATGTCGTCGCACTGGGAGACGCGGACCTTGCAGTTGGCGCTTTCCACCTCCATATCTGGAAACAGAAAACATTTACCATTATTATCTAAATATACTAATATTGTAAAGAGGAAAGCTAATAGGAATCAATGCAAGACTAAACAGTTTTGCGATAGTTTAGTCAAAGATGTACGCGTGTTCTATGGATAACAAGATATTGTTTAACAGACGTTAAGGTAATGTCATCGCCGTAAACAATTTATATAATGAGATTTGTAGAGAAATTTCTATTATTTCCGTTCACCTGAAATATCAAAACACATGACCAATCAAATGATTAGATAATTTTTGGACTCGATAATTCTGAGGCGTAGTAAATTTTTCTTTGTCTAAAAAACAACAATCACTAAAGAACTTAAGAACTTAGAACGTAAAATCTTCAGGGCAACGGCCGGTTTAAAAATTTAATGGAACGCTTTTAATACTTTTTTCTTATTACCTACCAGTTACATTACCAATAATTAACTAACATATTGGAAACAATAAAAAAAAACTATCTGATATGGCCCAAAATCAAACACAGTCCAGGATAGAACAAGATTCCGGGAAGACAGCAAAAGGGTGAGGTCCTGGGTTGTAATAGTTTGCAAAGGTGCGAGGGGTGTTCCGCTTTCCCTGGGTCGTAACACAATGAGTACATGGTTTTAGAGAGTAAAATTTCACATATCCGTCATTCTCCCGAAAAGCAGGGTATCTTTCGAAGATTTCCCCACTTATACCAGAAAAAAAGTAGAACAAGATGGCGTATTGTGGCCAGTACCAGCATAAGAGTAGCGAACGGGTCACAGTTTAGGTCACCTGATAGAAGAGGACCATAGTTCTGAGTATAACTCTAACAAAACACTCTTTAGTTATAGTAAACTAGCTGTTCTAGTGCGGCTTCATCCGCATGAAATGTCAAAATTCAAATGCACAAATGACAATTGCTTCCTTGATGTTGGCAGCAACTTTTGGCCTCTTTCCCACCTTAGGATTTTTATCTAAAATATTTAACCCCTAAGTTTAATGGCGTGACAATATATAGCCTAAAGCGTGACGTAAGTATAGGGCTTATTATTAAAAAAAGAACTATTCAAAAATATGCTGTGATTGCTGACATCTTAGGCAACAAAGAAGTGTGTGTTTACGCTTTATTATAATAGTATAGATAGAAAAGAAGCCGTCCTGGAAATCAGAGCAGTAGTAGACTGTTACCACGGCCAGACATTCGCGGCGACTTTTTAAATGACACTTCAATGCGTCAATTTGCAGATCATAAAACGTCTCAACTGCATTAGATAAACGTTTCTTCATCCGGTATTATCCAATAAGATTCATTGTCAACCTCGCAATTCTTTTATAATAACATCAAGTTGAAAACATAAAGGGATAGACGGCGTCGTGAGAAAGATTTTATCCTAACACGTCTTCCAAATGTTTGATTATTTAGTTACACTTACAACGGCGGATCCAGGGGGGGTTCATGGAGGTTATGACCCCCCCCCTGAACTGGTTGGTCAAGAGCTTGACAAAATATATTTCCATATTTTGTTAAGCTATGACCACGACTATGTGACCCCCCCCCCCTATGGCGCCAAAGCTGGATCCGCCCATGCTTACTTACTTACGAATTATAAATATGAAAATGGATCTTAAAAGGAATCTCAAGAAGGGGTCAACGAATCTCGATATTTTGCACACATATAAAACACAGTTTTGTTCTTTATTCCGCACGTAGTCGCGGGTAATAACTAGTTAAGCTATAATTGGTACTATTAGTGGTTAAATGCAATAAATTAGAAATATTACATCTTATAGAGTAAAGATCGTAAATAAAGATAAATTGTTACTAAGCATACGAAATATTAGGTCAAAAGATTACACTCGACGTATCTTTGTGTACCAAATACGAGTAATTCATATTTCAATACGTCATGAAGCTTATTTATAAAACAAGTTGCATTAAACATAACATATGACGCGTATACTACTGTCCACAGATTACTCTACTTATCATTGTTTTTTAACCTCTGCCCTTATGTTGAAAGCTTCTCTGTCGTCAAACACAGTCTGTGACACAAGCCTCTCACAAGCGTTTCTGTTACTCGGAACATAATAAGTATTATTATAGAAATGATAATAAATTGTTGTCCTAAAACTATATTATTATAGATAATAGTTAACAGACACCAATCATTGATCTCTATAAATGGATAGGTTATTGCTTGATGACAGCTTTTGATTTGTTTGTTAAACAAGATTTAAAGTTCCTGACATTTCATTCTATCTCAAATATTAAGTAGGGTCCTCGCTACTACTAACTTCACCGTCAGCGCCAAAATTGTCAAAATGTCTTGGTCAATAGCCTGTCCATTTTTATAGGTCACTGACAGTTTACTTAAGAGTAAAACAAAAACAACATGTTCTATGTCTTTGAACAATGATAATAAATAGTACAACTGAAACATTTAATAAAAAAATGTTAAGCAAAAGAACTGCTTGGATATAAAAATGTTAGTGGTTAAGTATAACTTAAGACTCCAACATAACATCCGCTATTAAATGCAAGTTGCAACATAAAAGGGTGACAATGCGTTTACTTGAATTTCCTGTTTTGAAATGTCAGTCAAAATACAGACTGCAGTTTAATAAATACTATTCAAGTATTTTATTATACTTATACTTAACAGTATGTAAGTTATATTGTATTTATTTTGATTACTCTATATATACTGAATGGTTGAGTCACATCAGGTAACCAAATTGGTATCATTTTTCGGATTGAATCGACCGGTTCTAGACTCTCATTTACCATTTTGACAGCGCCGAATTAAAAAAGTACCTAACTATATGCCAGTCCATGTTATCTACCCTCCAGTTAAAGTCCCGTCAAAATCAAACCTGCCGTTTCGGAGATAACCCGGAACAAACGCGGCTTGCGGACAGACAGACAGAAATTTGTAAACACTATTTTATATCAGTATTGCAAATATACAATGTATTCTTCGCATAATCTGACTATTTCTCTCGATGTTACATATTGACACTTCAACTTTATTATATGTATATAGACAGATATAAAAATCTGTAATCCTGGTCACCCTAGAAAACAGTCACTCGATCTTTGCAACCATTGAATTCTCAGTACAGTTATGGGCTTATTCCTTATTAAGCCTTTTTATAGTTCTAGGAAGCGTTTATTAAATTTTTGTAAAGTAAATAACAAATACTAAAGGTACATTGGCATATTGACATCGATTGTTTTTTTCTAAGAAACTCTCTTATTTTTCTATATAATTTTTAGAAAACTTTCACTGTTGACACAAATAAGATTGACTTTAAAAAAACTAAATTGATAATCACAATTTACACAAATATAAAGAGGAATAATTGTATTTTTGTATATATTGAAATACTTCTAAACTACCACGACAATTTCAAAAATTCCTGCACCAAAAACTATGTTATAACAGAGTAACATAGACTATGTTTTTTGACCGACTTCCCAAAAGAAGGAGGTACTCAATTCGTATTTTTTTATGTGTGTTACACCATAACTCCGCCGCTAGTACTGATTTTGATAATTCTTTTTTTATCCGAAAGATAGTGCTTGCAGGTGGGTCTCATTTTTTTGTTTGATTTTTAACTCATCAATCCTGTTGCGCTGTCCATACGGGAGTATTATAAGGAGGAAGATAAAGATAGTGTTTTTACTGTTCTTCCAATTTAACGCGCACGAAGTCGAGAGCAACAGCTAATAGGCAATATGACTATTGTACGATGTTCGTCAAACACATTTTTTAAAGATAATTTCGTGTAAATCCGAGGTCATTTTTTAAATATACATAACCTAATCGTCAAAACTAACTTGACACACTTGTTCTATCAACTACTTACTTAATCAATGAAAGTTGACATACTTAATTGACCTTCGTTAATTAGAATAACATTACTTAACAAACGTAGATCCTTTGGTTCATCATAAAAAATATGAGACAATTGTTTTCTATTTAAACTCGCCTAAAATTGAAACTACTTCAAAAAGAGAGAGATTCGTCTTTATGTTTTCTGTTTGTTTTGTTTTTTGGTTGTCCTATTTTTATTTTTTATTGGACGTTATAGCGAGCTTGTCAATTGTTTTTTCAAAAACTAAAAACAAATCATTATCTACTTTAGTTTCTAACCCTTTCCCATATTTACCTCTGCTATTTTAAGTGATAGATTTTTTATAGTAAAAACTCTGATTACGTCATATTTTATTGTTTCAATAAGCTATGAGTATTCTATTGTGTATTAGATAACTATTTACTTGTTTATTGTTGAAGGTATACTGTTTATATAATCAGTAAAAGTTTTGCATTGCATAGTTCATTATCCGTAACTAGTTTTTCCTATTTCTATAAATAAATATGAATGTTTGTTATTTATGCATTATTGAAGCATTGTGAATAAATAAAATGTATTATGACGCAACCAACCCGCAGTGGGCCAGCGTGGTTGACTATGGCCTAGTCACCCTTACTTAGGGCCCCAAGCCCCTCGTTGAGGACGTATAGCTGGTGATGATGATTCTGATGACGCCTCAGGTCTCCAATTTTTATATTAATACTAGCTGTTCCCGTGCGGTTTCATCCACATGAAATTATGAAAATTTTATTTTATTCTTTACATTTGTCAAATTATCAATAGCAAATGTCAAAATGACATGACATGACAAACCTTAGCAATCTTGTTTTTTTGATGTTGGCAGCAACTTATGGTCTCTTTCCCACATTAGGGTTTTTATACAAAATATTTACCCCTAAGTTTAACGGCGTGAAAATATATAACCTAAAGCGTGACGGAAGTGTAGGGTTTTATATTAAAAAAAGAATTATTCAAAAAAATGTTGTAATTGCTGACATCTTAGGCAACAAAGAAGTGTGTGTTTACGCTTTATTATAATAGTATAGATAAAAGAAGATTTACGATGTTTCATGTAATTAATAAAAACAAAAACTATTGGACGGTTTACAAAAATGCTTCACAATTAAAAGAAATCGCGAGCAACATTTTATAAAAAATAAAATTGTTTTTTTGCATTTTTATATTTACATATATACTATTCGTGGCTTTACAATGGATGACGCAAAAAATTCAAAAGTAGTTCAGTTATCATAAACTTATAGATGCGTTCATCGGAATCTGGCTCAGACTCTTGACTTTAAATGACAGGACATGTATTACGCACCTTAAAAATAAATTGCTCTCTTATGTGCTCTATTTGAGTTTTTAAATTTTTTAATCTTTGTTCGTAAAGACTGATTTATCATCATGATATGTGGTTATCACCTCCCCCCGCGCGTATATTGGCAGAATTGATTTAGTACCACACGAGTAGATAAAACACGTAGAGAGAAAGCTTCTAACTACTACAAGTACAGTATATGTGCGCATAACCACTGGCCAAATGATGTAGCCGCGGAGATACTGCGAAAAACCAGTTTACACCGGCGCAGCCAATGGTCTTTGTCTCTCTACGACTTTATCACCTACTAGCTGTTCCCGTGCGACTTCATCCGCATGAAATTATGAAATTTCATTTCATTATTTACATTTGCCAAATTCACAATTGCAAATGTCGACATGAAAAAACATAACAAACCTTAGCAATCTCGCTTTCTTGATGACGGCAGCAATGGTCTCTTTCCCATATCAGGGTTTTATCCAAAACATTTACCCCCTAAGTTTAATGTCGTGAAAATGTATAGCCTAAAGCGTGGCGTAAGTGTAAAGCTTTTTATAAAAAAAAGAATTATTCGAAAATATAATGTGATTGCTGACATCTTAGGCAACAAAGAAGTGTGTGTTTACGCTTTATTATAATAGTATAGAAGTATAGATATGGATGTGGTGAGGTACAACGGCGGTTGCTTAGTCCGTTTGTCTATAGTCAAGTATTATAACATGCAATCTTGACGTATAATTGATTATGTTATAGAACGTAAATTAATTTCACGAGATTATTATCCTTGAGGTAGGACTCGTCTTTGTTTCAATTTAGATAGATTTAATATAAAAATTACCCTTTTTTGTAGTTTTTTTCTTTTTAAAAAGAACTGTTTTGAAATAACTATTTAGCGTATAATTTTAAATTAAACGTAAAAAACAAAAAAAAAACATTATTGTTTGCAAAAAAAAGGGAAAATATAAATTAAATATTTTGTTGATAGGATTTTTAGTTTTTTTAAACAATTGACAAACACCCATTAAGCTAGAATTCTAAATATTTAGTCAAAAATTATATAACGTTAGTATTATTTAAAAAAAAGTAAGCGGGATAGACAAAAGCACTCACCTATCACGATATTCTCGATTTTTCTACACAGAAAGCACTTAGCAACTACACAAAAACAATTCTGATAATATCCAGATTCTTTCACTGAACGAACGACCGATAGTCGTATGCCTTTGATAAAAT